ACACACACACACACACACACACACAAACACACCCACACACACACAGACAAACGCTACTGAAAACATAACCTTCTTGGCGAAGGTAATTAAGGCCATCTTTACAATACCAGTTAATAGAAGGGCCTGGGTCCCAGTTGTAATTGGTTGTTTTCAAGAGCGGATGTGCGGCAAGCACATCTTTCTTTGCCTTCGACTGAAGGCTATGCCTTCGGAGAAGGCTATGAAATCGCTTTTGCACTGTTTGGCAGATTAGGCACGATAACTCTTGAAGGCAAGGTCCGAGGTTCACGATTTTTAGCAGGCAGGTCGATTTGGGAGTGACCATTTTCAAGGCTAAAAATGGGCTTCGTGGGGGGTTCCTAAGTCACTGTAGTTGACCTTGGTTTTTGGTGTTTTTTCCTTGTCATCAAGATATCTCGAGTATCCATAAATGGATGTAAATGATATAAATGATTTTTAGTGGGCAAGTTACCGTTTAAAAAGACCAAGGTCAAGTTCAAAGATGGGCCCCGTGGGGGTTTCTATGTCACTGCAGTTGACCTTTGTTTTTTGTGTTTTTTCTTGTGAGCAAGATAACTCAAGAATCATTAAATGGATGTTCATGTTTTTTAGTTGGCAAGTTACCATTGGCAATACCAAGGTCAAGTTCGGATATGGGCTTCGTGGGGGGTCCCCACGTCATTGAATTAGAAAGTACTGCAGCGAAACTTCTGGTTTTTACATTTCGTGACCTGGACGTGCTAGGGTCATGATTTTTAGATGGTAGGTAGCTCTCGTGCTCAGAAAAAAGTGCCATAAGTTTGCGCCCCGTAGCAGCTTGTTTGGGAAATGCAGAGGCATTTGTTTGAAAATGTTTGAAGTAGGATAGCTCAAGAACCGGTTGACGGATTGTTGTTATTTTTGGTATCTTGGTAGCTTAAGTGATGCTTGACCTAATTTGCTGAATATTTTGCAAATCACGATTTAATTTACATAATTAATGACAGAAGTCTATATATTTGCTGGGTTCTATGATAACACAATTAAAATGGTGGCATATGTAATCAAGAGGAAGAGATTTTCATTATGTAAATTGTGACTTAATGTGATTAATCTGTAGTAGGCTGTGTGTTGATATAATAGAACAATTTGTATTCCCTTTATAAGTATAGGCAAAGGTTTTGACCTGGTATATAGGACAGTGTAGTCAGGGTTAAGTAGGTTATGGTAACAAAATGACAGCAAGGGTTTAGAGTTGTTTGTTGAAATAATAGTAATCCTGAAGTGTTCTTTTAAGAAGCGAAGCTACCCTGGAAAAAGCGAGGTAGTAATGTATATTACAAATAGGTATAATGTGAAGTGTTTGAAAGAACATAACAAGTGCCTGTTAAACTTTTTGTAATTAGTGGACCATGAGACAGCATTCGAAGTGCACGGTTTTTACTATATGGTAAGTTTAACATGACTAGTTATGCGTTTAGTTTTAAAAGTTGTACGATAGTAGAGCCACTTTAAAGAAGTATTTGTCGTCTGGTTTGTTTTTAGCACAAAACTAGATAGGAAGGTCTCTGTTCGTTCTATGTTAAGATAATAGATAGTGTGAACTAGATTCAGGTAAAAACAACACTGGCAGCGTGTAGAGTTTGTTGAAACAACAGCACCCGTGAAGTGTCCTTATAACAAGAGTCTTATTTGTTCAGGCAACAGGCCTGACAAGTTAGTACTGTATATCAAAATAGATGCTAGTTATGACACTTGGGCGCTTTTAAAATCATATCCAGTTGGTTAAGTAACTGTTATTTTGCATATCTTATTACTTGGATGTTTAACCATTACCACCACGTGCACATTCTGTGTGATTTCTATATGCTTGTCAGTAAATTCACCAATGATTACATTAGTTGCTTTTTGAAGGTTCTTGCCCCTGACTCACTAAAAACATTACCTCTTTGTTTCACAAACCACCAGCCTTTTAGCCTGACTCTTTCATCAGATCGCTTAAAGAAACTATGGGTTGTTTTCAAGGGCAAAGGGCAAATCCATGTGACACATCTGGTACACTGACTGTCTATCACATGGGCACCGTTCAATATAACATCGGGGGTGGGTGGGGTGGTAATGCACACATGTCTGTGAATAATATAACATCCATATCATGGTACTATATTGTGCAAGGCATTCATAAGATGACACATAAAATACGGGGCAAGTATTCGGTTTCCAATTACACAAAAGCAAGTTGAAGTGGTGGAAAAGTTACATAGTCAGCAAGTAAAACAGGCCCTCGGCACTACATTAATTTCCATATGAGAACAGACTGAGGGCTTAATTGTCAACTTCATATGTAACTTCGTGAAGAATTTATCAATTCTTTCAATTATGTCCTGCAGGCCCAATTGTAACCTCAGTCCTGAAGTTCCAGTCCTTACCCTTGAACCCCCTTAAGTCCGGGTCTGCCTAAATACCTCAACCGACCTCAACCGACCGCGTAATGGGTTAATATGCAGTATACATGGGCCAACAACCCTTTCCAACGCTCTGGATACATTGTCTATGCTTGTATGAATGAAATTTAAAAGCATGAAGGAAGAGATCGACATCCAACTATTGAAATAAATGATCTGTTAGCCCATGTACACTGAATATTAACCCATTACGCGGTCGGTTGAGGCCGGTTGAGGTAACGGTTGAGGTATTTAGGCATACCGTTACGTCCAGCAGTCCCGGTCCTATTTATGCTTTAGTCTTGCAGTCCCGGTCCCATTTATGTTTCAGTCCTGCAGTCCCAGTGCTATTTATCACTGTATTAACTTATAAATATCATCAATAACAACAATAAACATCTACACAAAAATACTACCATATACAAACAAAAACACCCACCAAAACAATATCACACAGTCGAAGGCATGAGCCCTACGAACTCTAGTTTTGCTATGACATCACCATGTGTAACCTGGTCGGTTGAAGAGACCAAGCGCCTGGTATTGCTGAAGAGCATTAGTCGCCTAAACTGGTGGGGGTGGGCGTGAGCTGTACCGAAACAAAAATGTTTACCTGGAAATGTGAGTCAAGTCAAGTCAAGATATTGACCGGACAGGATTTTTACAAAACCGGTCATGTAAAATCTGGTATGAACGCTGTATATCTTAGCCTGGTTTTCCCTCGCTACTTATTTAGAGGTTTCAACAGAATTTTGAAAGTCTAGTATGAAGTCGCAACAGTAGAAGATCAACTTTGGTCGGGTATGCCGAACGGTATGATCAAGTGTTGTTCCCATGTTTCAATCCCTGCATCACGAAAGCTGAATTGTCTACTTATTTAGTCATGTATATAGATTTTTTTGTTAGCCCTTCCCCCAAGACCTCAATACAAAGAGGCCTACAGGCATATAATGAATAAGAAATTGTTTCAAACAAGCAAACATAAATGTACAGACTAGCGCCATCAAAAGAAATACTTCCGCCTTCTCCACTGAATATTGGATAAAAATATAAAATACAACACGGGTATTCCGTATCGCCCGAGGTTTCATCCCGACCGCGCGTCGGATCGCCCGACGGCCGGAGGGAGATCCAACCCGCGGGAGGGGAGGGCTGCAGCTGGGACCCAGGGTGATGCGTAAGACACCGTGTTCTATTTTATTTATGTCATACCTACACAAGAAAACGCGCCTTTCAATGCAAAATGAGCGAAAATTTTCTGTCCCTAAACCCAAGAAATGGAACAACATCAATTCCAACGTCCGAATTTTGTATTCGAATTTTCGAAAGCGGTGCACGCGGAAAGCGGCGAGACGCGCTCGAATCGTTCTGTGGAACATTTCGAAACCCGGGCCGTACGCGTAAATAAGTCCGGGCCGTACCGTATAGTACGGCCGGGTCCGGAACACCCTTATCAAACGTATGGCATAATGTGTAATATCTTTTTCCAGGAATTTGACGTTGACGAGATCAAGCGGCTTGTGTCCCAGTTCGACAGCGTTGTGACTAAGATCTACAGCAACATGGAGAAGGGCATCAACGCACTGAAGGATGTGATCACAGGAGACCCTGACATCATCGGGATGTTTGAGGACCTCGGAACTGTTATTGAACAGCTACCTGAAAAGGTGTGTATTAGAGGGTTCATCTGCTCAACAATTTGTAAGAAAACTGTGGGGGTAACTCTTTTTTCCCGATAGCCGCTATAACCGCCCTTCAGCGTAGAACACAAGCTTTGTTGGGACGCAGCGAATTGTTGCCAATGGATTTGCTATTCGAACAGGTATAATCTGTATCTGTATCTGTATAGCCGGTATAACCGCCTTTCGGCGTAACACACCAGCTTCGCAGGCACGCGGCGCGGCGGCAGCTGGCTATATTATACCGATCGACTTGTTACACCTAACCCTTGAACTTCTAGCTCTAGACATTGTTTAAAGCTATCTATTGACAGTGCCCCTACTGTACTTGGTGACAGTGAGTTCCACTCTGCGATAGTTCTAGGAAAGAATGAATTCTTGAACACCTCAATCCTTGGTTGATAACTCTGGTCTATCAGTGTTGGCGCCCGAGACGCGACGCCAAATATATGTTCAAGTGAATCAAGTCCCTTACAAATTATACAAAGACCTTCCAAATATAGCACTACGAAAATCTGTTGTCCAAGTTACTAGTGTAACGACACGTCGTTCTATGATTCCTAGATTACAATATCTATACTAGTATACGGTTGTCCTCCCCACACAGATACGTTACTCGTACTCGTCGCCCTCCCCACTCGGTACGTGGCGGTTTACAAGACAGTAAAAATTGATTCAAAATCTAAAAATGCCACCATTTATCGGTTTTACAAGTCCACAATACGTTCAAGTATTACTTGTGGGCTAATCTAGAACAAAAATCCAAGCAAATTAGTACAATAAGACGTAAAAATGGGAAAATACTCGGGAGCTCTCGTGTTTGCTGCCGCTCACCTCCGCGCCTGCGCACAAATATCTAATAGTTAGAGTTACAGTTTTTATTAGCATGCAAAGTATAGTGCCATATATTTAGCCATCGTTTTGTCAAAGAAACAGCATTTTACTATTATTGGGGTTTAACAGTCACGTATAGATCAAAAGTTAGTAAACATTCATCGCTTCTGTTCCTGCAATTCGTCCTCGGGAACGACTTTGTATACGTGTGTTTGTGTGTGAACTTGAAAAGGCAATGATGAATCATAAGTTACCTCTATTCCAATATAGAACAATGACTATTTTCACATGTAACCATTTAAGAAAGGAACATAGTAAGATATCAAGGAAGGGTACCTCATTAGCACATCATTGAAGTGGAAATGTCATTACATCATAGTGAAATGGCACTAAACGGCAAGGATTTACACTTATAATTTACGTAAAAGTCAACAATATCATATATAAATCATGCATTATAATGCATAATACAAGGCAACGTGCTAGAATCGCTGTCGAAAGATCTTTTGTCAAAGTTAACTACTAGTTATGAGATCATGGATCTCTAGTGTTGTGTGTTTTGCAGGCGTTTGAACTGCGTGATGCAGTGGAAAACTCACTCCACACACTGGGGCAGTTTGACCCAGCAGACTGGCCTGAACCTGCCCAGCCTATCATACAGATGGTGATGGGAGTCATCAACACATACCAACAAATCAAGAGTGACATTCTGGGCTTCTACAATGTAAGACAATTCACAAATTTACATGTCAAAATTGTTGAATATGGTCGCTGTTGCAAAAGGCTGATTTGTACAATGTAAATCTGTGAAGTTTGTTCCTCATTCTGCGATTAAAAAAACAAGAATATTGTAAATTTTATCAATTTTAAGGGGCTACTTGCTTTTTGTTTATTCAAATTGTAATAAGAGAATTGGAGCCTTTTTAATGAGTAACAACTGTGTCCATGATATTACCAGGGTCCATGATATCGCCACCTTGAGAAACAGTGTGCTTCAAGATATTTTTTACTGCAACATACCTTTGGTATGCACTCCTTAACGCATCAAATGTACATACCTTTTTCTCAAGGTGGCGATATTATGGACCCTGGTGATATTATGGACACAGATGGTATTTTAATTTTTAAAAAAATGTACAAATTGTTCAAAGTTTTAGAAATGATGTCAAAGTTTCTGTAATGCGTGTATAAAAAATACACGGTCACTGACCATTTTGCAATAGAACAAAATGTAAAATATGTTTGAAAAGCAAAAATTGTATTAGTTTCTGTACTTTTGTAACCCGGTTTACCCACCCTTTAGTGCAATACACACGATTTGCAGGCACTCAGCATCGGATGACTTATCACGCATAACCTTTCCACTGCAAGTGTTATTTAACCCTAAACAGTACACTTGGGGTCCGCGCGGACCCCAGCACTATACATTCTGTAATATCTTTTTTTTTTCTAAAGATTTTTTCTGAAATTTTAGGTAATTGTCACCCACAAAGTTGTCTCTCAATACAGTGCAGAAAAATCCGTTTCTACTATTTATGAAAAAATTATATCTGATTTTCTTTTGGGGTCCGCGCGGACCCCAGCCGGCTTTCGATCATAATGGATACACTGGCGTTCTTATACATTACCTTATTTCCGTTTTTATATGTTTTTATGCACTCATCGTATGTCTACCAAGTTTTCAGAGAATGGTGTAGTAATAGAATTAAATTTTAATAACTTTGGTGTAATTATGACGTCATATGACGTCAGAGCTAATAATATAGTCCGCCATATTGGATTTTGACCAATGACGTCATCAAATTAGCATATTATATGCATATTAAATGATTTAACTCATCTTTAATTATGTTAGATGTTATTAATGTTGGAAAAGAAGTGTAATTTAATATAAAACTCAGAAAATTTTTATGTTTAAACCAAAATTACTTCTATTGTCAAAAAAATGCCTGCTAGAAACCCGTTGCCATGGCAACACAAAAAAACATCAACTTACTAGTATTAAACAAATATGGATTTTTTCCAGAGACATTTTAGGAAAGGTCTCCAAATTTGATACTTCTAGCGCAAGCCGTTTAGCCGCTATCTGAGATCAAAGTTGGGCCTCAAAAGCCCCTTCAGTCTGAAATGGGTTTAAAAATTGGGTATTTTTTCTTGTCTTCTTTTCTTTACCAAAAAAATAGAAAAAGTTCAAAATGTATGAGGTTCCCACATCAGTTTGCAAAACAATTGAGCTGGTAGCATGTTGATAATTTCTAAAAATTAGCAAAAATACTGTTCAAGGGTCCACGCGGACCCCAGGTGTACAGATTAATCAGTCCGGGAAGGTGTTCTGTTGAGGGTTAAAGATGCTATTTGCATGTAGGCATCCCCATACCGTTCTTGGTGACAGGGAGTCCATCTATTTTGTACATTATGAGTAGTCTGGCGCCATGTGTAGTCTGGACATTTATATTTTGTATTCAGGTATAAACCACTTTCTAGATATGTTTTCATTTTGATGACACTAGCACTCCTTCGGTAGTTGTTTGTACTAAATAACAGCTGACAGCAGTCATTAGTGACCTCATGCGTTAACTGCATTTCATTTGCTCGACATCAGGCGGTGAACATGGGTATCAGGGTTGACCTACCCTGGGCAGCTGAGCAGATCTGGGGAGCCATCACTACCATGATAGAGGCCCTGAATGACGTGTTCAGCAACCCAAAGGGTGCCCTAAGCGATATATTCAAAAGTGTCTTCAGGTACATCGCATTCTTCCCACAGACTGCATTACTGTTTATTTAAATTCAAAACGCTACTAAATGTTTTAATTATGGGTTTTAGGCTATATGATACCACCAAACTTTTAAGATGAACTGTACTCACTGTAGTTTCCAAAGCATATTACACATGAGCTTTCAAGTCAAGTTTCTTAGCTTTGTAAAATGACTTTTATGTGACCAGCGATGTTTACCTCCATGAAATGTGTCATGGAGGTTATATTTTCAGTTGCGTTTATCTGTCCGTCTATCCGTCTGTATGTTGGTCAACAAGATAACTCAAGAACGCCTGGATGGATTGGTTTCATACTTGGTGTGTTGGTAGGGTGTGACGAAAACTGGAAATGATGAGATTTTGGTCCCCCTAGTGGCTTCCCTTGATACTGCAGCGCAACTTACGGTTTTGATATCTCGCGATCTGGACATGCTAGGGTCATGAAATTTTGACACCTTGACACCTTTTTTTAAACACACGGTTTTACACTACACTGCATTTCCATAAAGTTGTGACATGCACTTAAAAGCACTGTCTTGTAGTGCCTGGGCGAAAATGTCATGCACCTGTTATGTCATATTAATGTCGGCTTTTCCCAGGTTGATTCAAGCTGTTACCAAGCTTATAGAGCGGAAGAATGAGATCATGGGCTATGTGTACCCAAATGGTAAGTCATCGAATCAGTACTTTTCCACATGTTTTATGTTAATGACATTGCTCTTTATTCCACCAGGTCCCCTAAATTTTAAGGGCAAGTGTTATTCAGGCTTTCACATGATACCTGGAACTGGATAACTGAAGTAATGGGTACTGATCTTGCATCTTGAAGTATATTCTTATATACTGGTAGTCTTAAGGTAACATTACATTAATTGTTGTAACCACGTGTAATAAGTATTAAACTTTCACCGTTAGCAGATTTAGTATGCACACATTGACAACCTTGCTGCCAAAGTAATCAGGCCAGATGTTTTTATTTTAATTATGTTTGTTTTGGTGTATATTGATTTTGTCACCAGTCAGGCAAGATTTGCAGTGTTATTGTTTAGTTTGATGATTTCTATGTTTGACATTACCATCTTATAGGTTAAAAAATTATTCTTTCCTTTTTAACATTACTTTTTATTTCCACTTATAGGTTGAATTTCCAAACTTAGAAGTCTGCTAAACCTAAAAGTTGGTAAACCATAAATTATATTATGTGCCCCCAATCCTGCCAGCTTAACAGCCAGATTGCGAACCATTTTACCCCCTGTCATCTTGTCCGTCGATATCTTTCCCTACTTATGTGCTGTCAATGTTTTTGATGTCAAGACAAACAGATACACATATTTATAGCTTAGTGCCTCAAAGAAAACTTCTGTATCTGGAATTGAATAAACAACAGACAGAGATGTTTCTATCCTTATATGTTAGTTCCATCATTAATTACTGGTCCTAATTCTCCACTATTGTCCTGCAGGTGACTGGCCGTATTGGTTTGACCTAGGCGGACTTGCAGCTGAGGTTGCAGACAATATCACAACAGCACTGGAGACCAGCCAGGCTATAGGAGAAGCCTGGGTGTCTGAAATCACACAGGATCCAGTTAAACATGTATTAGGAAAGAGTGAGGTACATTTTATTCTTATTGATATCAATTTTTAGTTTTGATTATTAGCACGCCTTTGAATAAGTGTTTATGATAAAGTGAAAAGAATTTGATGCATAATAATTTTCCTCTGCGTATCAATTGTGCACTTATTCCCTATGTGTGGAGAGCATTTAAGTTTCACAGAGAGAGATAAAACAGAAACATTAGTAATTACAATCAACATGACATCATACGTTTTAAGATGGAAATGTTTGAGCACATGGATGTACATGATTTGTACATGTTTAGTACTAGGTACAACAGATCGAGTACATTAAAATAAACAAACTTTGTCATATAGATTATCTAATACAAAATAGAGTTCTTTTTAAAACAACAAGACTTTCCAAACCCCTTAATTCGTAACGACATATTGAAAACTAGCAGACTAGTTAGCAGTTGAGGTAGATTCGTCTGGTTGTCTTTAAAGAATAACATTAGATAGATAGACAGCATAAACCAAAAATAAGTTGTTTGTTACGACACCATAACCATATCATTGGTTATGAAATCCTATAAACACAGGAACCAATGGGGTTACCGATAGAGCACTCTGTGCCTCATTTATTGGTGATAGGGAATGCCCAATACATGTATTACGACATCGCATACAACTCTTGGGATAGATCATTAATTATCTTTAAGTATTATTAATACTAAGTTTATGTTATATTTGTGACCTTTCATATTAGTCTGAGCTGAAGCGTTACATGATGAGTCAGTTGGGAGATGTGTTGAACCGTCTGAAGGAACCCCTCGCACCACTGTTAACAATCATCAGCGAGGTGCAGAAAATCTTCACTCTGGTGGAGAATATCATCAACAGTGTCAAAGAGGGGTATGCTCTTCTTTTTGAAATGTGAGTAACACGTCAATAATTACCTTCGCCAAGAAGGTTATGTTTTCATTAGCGTTCGTGTGTGTGTGTGTGTGTATGTATGTATGTATGTATGTATGTAATATGTATGTGGTTTAGCCCGATAACTCAAGAACCTTTTCAAGAATTATAGGGGTTGCTTTTTTTCCGTCAGGTATTCTAGTGTACAGGAATGTCTCAGAGCTATGCCCACATTTCTAATTAGACCACATCAAGTACTTTTTTTGTGGATGACGCGCTGATTTCGGCCTGTCCAAGAAATAAACAAGAATTATGTAACTATGACTAAATAATCACGACAGTGCAAATCATAATATTTAAGTTAAATAAGGAAGATTGGATCGTGTTCTATAGAACATGTGGGCTCGCCACCTTCGCTCGTCAATTATATGAGCATTAAGGTTGAAAAAACGTGTGGTTACATTATCTTGGAAGTTCATTTGTGTTGGTGGAAGTCATTATGAAACGAATTTGAATTGCAGCTGCCAACACAAGCCAATTTTACTCACCCAAATTTTCGACTGTACAAGGAAATGAACAATCCACCGCTTTCGTGACGTCAAGCAGATAACACACGTGACTCCGTGAGGAGTGGATCTTAGGACGTTCTGCAACTTAAGATCCACTGCTCACTGTACTTCACAGTTGTACAATCAACCATTTGGATAAGTTCAAATTCTTGTGTTGGCAATTGCAGTTCAAACTCGTTCCATACTGCGGCAACATTGTTGTGGACTGGTAGGTACACGATGTCGGCCAAATAGAGCTGACGTTCGTGCAACTATAAGAAAGACTTGAAGAGACGAGTGAGTTTTGACCGTACAGTTTTATCACATATATCTAATGGTCACACAGGTACAGTAAAGTTAAAGCTATGCAGGAGGGACTGTTTGGGCCTAAGGCTCACCTCAAGTTCCCAAGAAAGATCCGTCTGAGTGGAAACGGGTGTGGTGAGGACGGCTTTTATCCAACAGACAACGAAGAAAGGTACGAAGGACGCATGGGAGTGGACCTGGAGACAGACATAGCAAATCAGGTCAGTACCATCATGCATGATGCAGTACCATCACGCATGATAATATGGAACAGAAATTTTAGAATCTCCGACATGAATGCCGGTAACGTCCTAGTCTGTCAGACTGCATGTGTCTCCACGGTTATTTCCATGTGAAAATACCATCACAGACTGACTGAGAACGCCTGAAACAGACCGAGAAAGTGATGTTCAAATTAGCAGCTCCAAAAGAGCTTATTTTATGGAATTATATCATAGCTCGTATTGGTAGCTTAAAAAATGCACATAGCCGGATGCAAATTATACAAATAAAGGCATCCAACATGGCGGGCAATATGCCATGGGCATAGTGAGCGCTATGATCTCAAAATTTATTTCAATACTTTTAATGTAATTGCATCATAAAGCAATGACTCTTCACTAATAAACGATTCTGTTTTACATATTTCTAACACCTTCAGATTGTAGCACCATTCTCTGGGAATATGTGGAAGCTAAATGACAAGGCTGTCGGCATCAACTGTACGGAGTCTTCCATGCGTGGGATGACAGCATATGTCGAGAACGTGGACTTGGCCGATGAGATGTTTGAGAATGGAGACATAGTCAATGTAAGTCTGTAACGTAGCTTTGATGATGGATCAATATCTAGGACTAATAATGCATGCAGACAGATTATTTAAATTCGTCACAATAACGGATAAAGCATGTCTTCTATTTTAAAATATGCATTGTTCTCTAGTCAGAACCAATATCCTAGTTACGTTGTGTCTGTAGGCCATAGGACGTAGAAGGTTTTCAGCTGAGACAACTTTTCAATACAGCATCACCCCCATGAAACTCCTTCCTCTTCGCCCCCGCCGTTCTGCTTCGCCCCCGCCCAGTTCTGCTTCGCCCCCGCAAAAAATCTGCTTCGCCCCCGTCGTTCCTCTACGCCCCCGACGCAATTCTGCTTTGCCCCCGTCCTTCTGCTTAGCCCCCAATGGCGGCACAGCTCACAGTCGACACGAAAATCGTCTGCAAAATAACAATAAAGGCTGTGCCGCCAAATTTAAAGTAGCCCATGCTCCGGCAAACATTCTGGACCACCTTTCTGCCAAGTGGCGTTGCACAAATCCTTCCCATTCAAAAGTTTACCCCTACCTCACGGCCTGTCAGTGGATCTTACGTTTATAAGTACTGGCGGGAAATTTCACTCACGGCTGTACTTATAAACGCCAGTACTTATAAACGTAAGAACCACTGACGGGCCGTGAGGCAGGGGTAAACTTTTGAATGGGAAGGATTTGTGCAACGCCACTTGGCAGAAAGGTGGTCCAGAATGTTTGCCGGAGCATGGGCTACTTTAAATTTGGCGGCACAGCCTTTATTGTTATTTTGCAGACGATTTTCGTGTCGACTGTGAGCTGTGCCGCCATTGGGGGCTAAGCAGAAGGACGGGGGCAAAGCAGAATTGCGTCGGGGGCGTAGAGGAACGACGGGGGCGAAGCAGATTTTTTGCCGGGGCGAAGCAGAACGGGGCGGGGCGAAGCAGAACGGCGGGGGCGAAGAGGAAGGAGTTTCATGGGGGTGAGCATCAACAGAGAGAAAACAGCATTGATTTTGCAAGGCGTACCAAGCTACTCGCCCACCTGTACTATTTTGGGTGTCGAATATTGTGCTGGATTGATTATTTCAATGTCAATGCTATGATTTTTTTAATGCTTAAGAATCTTATTATCCGTTTAGTAGTTGGTGAACAGCTGGGATCAGAATTCTTATTTTAATAAGTTAACATTGTAATGATTAGAATCAGTGATTGTTGCAGTGTATGTAAATATGATGTCTGTTTTATGTCTACCCATAGATACTGGCCGGAGAGGAAATCGGTAAAGCTGCACGCTCAAGTTGCACCAACCACATCCACTTTGCAGTGGAGAAAGACGGCAGCTTTGTGGACATTAGCAAGTTTCTGGAACCACGTTTCATCACTATTCCACAGTGGATACAGCACTGTGATGACTACAAGTTGGCTTACAAGGTACAGCCTAGTTCCAAGCAAATGTTGTAAAACATGTTAGATATATCAGAAGAAAATATTATGCAAGGATAATGAAGGTTAGACATTCAGGTAGAACACAAATATATGTTTAACTTCTCTGCAATGGCTATACTTCATAAGTATCTTAATACCTTGCTTTGGCGTTTACAGTGTCATAAGGCATGGTTAATTTCTAAATTCCATTATCAGCTTTTAAAACAAGATTGCAGATACTATCTTAAGTATCTGAAAATTCATCCAGTTGCTTAATCTTTAAACTGAAAAGGTATGAGAATCTAACCAATAGCCTTTATCAGGCATTATTTACGGTTAGATATTTTAGTCAGAACTTCCATGCATAAATTTTCCGCAGTTAATGACATAATAAAATCTTGGACTCTGTAGCATCGTAAGTCCTTTAATTGGTAATTGCATTTTTGCCTCCAAACAAATTTTTTACATAAACTATTCTACCTTAAGGAAGTATTTAATTCTACTTTGTGTGTATTACAAAGAGATTTGATGATAGTTTTAAACAAATCGCAATTTCGCAATGCCTATATATGCCTATTAAAATACACAAGTCATGCTGTGAAAGTTATTGTAATGTTTTTTTCGCATTTTCTAATAAGTGAATAAAAATGTCTCCACAGTTTCAAACCATAAAGGCAGGCTACATTGTGGGTCTGGGTGGCAAGAAAAGTGAAGACACGTCGCCAAAGAGGACAGCGACTAAACCGGACACGTCTGGCTTACAGATGCCAGAGAAGACAAGGAGAAAGAAACGAGGAATTTCCATCTCAATTCCCTCAAGTAATACACCATTTTTCATTCTTATTGTGTTAAATAAAATGTACATTTAATCACGTCAATGAACACGAGCAGTAATTTTCTGACCTTTAAAAAGGTCACACAATCTTAAAATTCCTATTAATTTATACTTTGACACCTGTCCCAATCAATGCCTGCCTAGATATGTTAGTAACACTACTATTTTTGTCAGTCTATAATTGGCAATCTGGTACTTTATGGCAGATCTTTTTTTTTTCTGTAATCCTAAACTGAGGTCAATTATGGTGCTTTTTCAAGTAGTTCCTAAACTAATTTCAATATAACTACGCTACAGCTCGCATGTTTAGCCCAGCACATCGTGATTCTTCTTGTGAATAACTTATCGTGCAGAGGTTTGATACCATAATCTCCTTTATACACCTATTCCGGTTGTCCTCAGAGTGTTGATGTCGATGCTACACGTGTACTCTACACCATGTACGGAACCGATCGTTTATCCTGTACACATCTCCATTTCTATTTTTTTTCCAACATCTAATTACAAGACGTCAACTTATATTAATGCAGCCACCAACACAGGGGACAATACGATACAATGTACTCATTTTAATCCAAGCGAAAAAAGGAAAGTTGTGTAAAGTGCATTTCCGAAGGACACAAAATCAGTGGCATGTCAGGACTCGAACACTGGACCTCTTGATTTTGAGTCTAGCACTCTGCAGCTACGCCACGCGGCCTTTTCTATTCCAGATTCAGACGGTAAAGACCTGCTGAGCAGTCTGGGTATCCCCGCCATTAACAGTTCCGGCCCAGCCAACAGTGGTTTCTCCATGGCCCGGCTGAAAATCTGCAACATCCTGGACTTCCTGCAGGCTGTCGGCATGGACGACACCAGGGAGGCTCTCATTAAAGTCATCGGGGGTGTTCAGGTAACTTTATCATCGGACATTATAAATGGCCAAGGGTTTACATTAACCTACATCAAGGACGTTCTACAAGTCTGTAGAACGACCTTGCCTACATGTACTATACAGATGCATGTTCATTAGTACTTGAACTAATAGACTACAAATTCAAAGGTTGATTTTAGTAGATATCATGCATACATGACTTAACGTCATCATCGCCGCCATCATCTATCGACGATGCGGACCTCCATAGCTTTCCACTGTCTTCTGTCCAGTGCTTTCCTTCGTGCTCCTTCCCAAGTGATACCCATCTCTTCTAAGTCTCCTATTATCTAAGTCTCTCATTATCTCATAGCTTCACTTGAAGTTTTGCTTTTTTACCGTTTGTGTGTAATGACTAATGTCTGGATGAAGAAATAATCAGATTTTTTAACCTCCTTGTCGCTTTCCTTGAAACGGCAGAGAAACTTTCGGTTTTGCTATCTTGTGTTCTTGAAATACTAAGCTCATGAGTGTTAGATACATAGCTCTTGTTCTGCTTGAAATATGCTGGCACTTTTAAAGGAAGCTGAATTGGAGTAACCATGTAACCAAATAACAGTTCGTAAATTTCAACATTCCTCTCTTGTTAAGGTACTGTCATTCTTCTTTTTTTTTCAGCTTTGCAATATCCGAAAATTCTTGAGGAGGATTGTAAACATAGGCAATACTTAGAAGAATAGTTTAGGATGTTGATTATAATTGGAGGTGACGCACAGCTACATCTTGTATTGGGATGTTCTATACAACATTTTTTCTCATGTCTACGTTTGCCAATAACCTTCAAGGGCTATCATTTGGTACCATCAGTGCCAAGGTACTAGATATCGTGTCGGAAGCTAACCAACCTGAATAGGCTTTTACAGGCATAATCACTGACATTTAAATAAAAGCGCGCTTTAGATTTTAAGTCGATCTCGTCGATGTTCATCCTATCACTGATTAACTGTGCTTCTCTTTAGAAGTCCGAGAGCGTGATGACGTCATGGGTGAATCAAAAGTGGGCAAATGCGGAGTCTACGACCGTTAGTTTCAGAGAGGATTAATGAGCACTGATGAATACTGCCTTTTATGCAACGATATGTTACCATCTCTTTTTTATATCACACTAGGCCCTGATAGAGAGTAAGCCATGTGCCCGTCCGGAGACAAAGACAGACGACCAGCTGAGAGCTGACCTGCAGCTGCGTGGTCTGGAGACGACAGGATCCCGGCACCAGCTCATCGCCCGCATGAAACAAGCTGACCAAGGTTCAAAAATTACTAAAAAAGATATATTTACATATTTTTCTGAAATAAACATTTGGTGTGCTTCAATTGGGGTAAGAAACCTTCAGTGCCATGCATGGGTCAGACATTACATAGCCCCAAGCCTCGATTACAATGTACTGTGCTTGTCTAGCTGCCACATCACAGTATTATATCCATACTGTTCAATTTACTGTTAAAATCATTTTATTCTTTGCCTCTATCATTCAACTAGCTCAACGTTTTAAACTGTAGTTTCAAGATACAGAAAACAAATTCGCTAATAGTTTTTCTTTAAGTTGTTTACTAATGAAGAGATCTGCATAGAACACAATGGGGCAAATTTGGTGAGGCAAAATATGACGAAATCTTTCCTTTTTACAGGCTGTCCGTTCCTGACACTTTCATTGCCAGACAATGTGTACTGTACAGTGGACGATTTGTGTCTGGGGGTTTCCTGTTGTGTGGACATCCAGGTAAAAAAAATCACAAATTTGACGACTATTAGTGTAAAGTAACAAGAAAAGTGCTTAAACCATAATCAATCAAAAGTGGAGTGATGTGAGGATGAATCAAATGCTTGCCCTCCATTGTGTCTGGGACTCTAACAGCAATATATAAGCAAATAAACTATCAATGTACATGTTACACACATTGCGCCTTACCATTCGATTTTTAAAAATGGTTTTGGGCCTTGCAATACACAATGTTTATGTATGATTGACCCAACAATGATTGCTATTGTATTTATAATGGAAACCACGCGATATACATGATAATAACTGGTTGTTGCGATTAATGCCTTTTTGTTCTGAAACATTTTATGTTAACATAAATTGTACGGGCTCTTCTGACACATTTCAAGTAACACGATATAATAGTATATTGATATTAACATTTAAATGAATGAATTTAATTGAAGTTAAATCAATTTTGACCCTAAATCACTGCATATGCATTTATATACACGTGAACAAAATCTCTCTGCCTTAATTCTGTTTGCATTGTTTGTAAGGTGTGGAAGTTCAGAAAGTCTATCAAAGCCTACGCGAGGTTTGACATAGAAGACTTCACGTTCAGAATGGGGATAGAGTCGGCAGGACTGGACCCATGGACGTACGAGTACAAGGCTGCTGATGGAATATGGGGTACGTGTTCCGTATATGAAGCCTAATGATGTGGCTGTACTCCGTCTAATATACTTTGATTTGATTTGATTTGGTTTAATGAAATTTCAACAATACAATATGCGTGGGACACGAGCAGCTGTTGCTGTTGCTGTGCCCCACATATTGAAACATATATAGGACAGGGCTTTTATCATTTTCACTTTAGACCACAGCAAGTAGTGTTTATGGATTACGTCAGGGAGCGCATTGATTTTTGAAAAGGAAAAAAAAAGAAATGTTGTTACCGTCTGACAGTGGTTGACATGCCGAACATAGGCAAAGATATCTGCTGCCATGCCGGAACGTGGAAGGCATATAAATGTGGTGAGAGGAGAAAAGACAAGGCTCTGATTTTATGTTTTGTCTTTTAATTGGATGCATTGATGTATTTCATTCCTTTTACACTTGTATATGTAATGGTTTCTGTGTTTATGTGGTGTTTCCACTGAATCAAAATCATTTGTACAAATGTCAATGATTGATATCTTTGTATTATTTTTAATTGAAAAAAAAAAGGATTTTGTAATAGTTGGCAGTAAACTTGGCACAATATAGGTATCATTTCTTGTTGGAGCCTGCGGAGGATGCCATTCATACAATTTGCTTGATGTGGCCTTAAGTGAGACAAGTCGGTGGCATGTCAAGACTGTAACCCGGGACCTCTTTGTTCCAAGTAGAGCACTCTGCCGTTATGCCACCCGGCCGACCCTGCATGCTAATATGCTTTGTTGCAAGTAGTACATTTTAGCAGTCTTGTAAAGGGAATTTATTGGCTAACCAAATTATATTAGCTATTACTTGAATACTTGGTGGTCACAGAATTGCTTCCTTTAACTTACCTTATCCTCATTCGTTACAGTGTCTCTAATGTTTCTATACAAAAAACAGTGCTGCAGGGTTTGGTTGCTAGATATGTTTTTGAGCTTTTTAAGCAGCCAGAAAATATTATGTTAAAAGTGTTTGGTTGACAGGAATCTTTACATTTGGTAAATGCTAATTCCTGTGTTCTTTTTTATTTGCAGATGAAGAAAGAGAACTGGACACAGGGATCTCCTTTGGATTCGTTGGTGTTGATATGGACCTGAAGCTTAGGTGATGCTTCGCTTTGTATCTTGTATCTATCGGCAACCATTATCATTATTTTTAAAAATACCAGGTTGAAATGCATGCTACGGGTGCGAATGTCAATACTATATGGACCTTTATTATTTGTCATGTATTATGAAAATTGCAACATAAAAGTTTAAGTCAGTCTTAGCCCAATTATCGGAATACACTGGAATACATAAAGGGGGGTAAATTCTTCAAAATACAGTCCGTCTTACTATGACTTTATTATAAGGCTCCGTGGAAAAGAAATCACTAACCCTAACCCCGTTAAAAACACTGTAATCATAACAAATATGGCGTTGGAAAACCGGGGATGTCATCATGACCGAGCAGTATTTTCCATTTATCAAAACCTGTCCGAGGGCGATAAAATACATAGAAATTAAAATACAGAAGAGTCAAGAAATATAGACAGAAATATAGCATATGTGATGTTACCCGCATATTAATGCATACTGCATTTGAGTAACCCCCCTCCCCATCTTTATAATATGGGTATTTAAGCAACGTAGCTGATGCAACCGATATATTTTGCAGCGAAGAAAAACTTAATTGTGTCAACAGAAACTACAATATATCTGTGAGTACACATTGTATGATCCGATTGAACTTTTGGTCAAATCCTAACCGACAGGTTTACTCTGGAATATGAGAAGCCGACGCACTTCTTCCTGACCCTGAGTGTGGGTCTGTGTGGGGAGGAGTGTCTGGAGTTCTTCACCCTGTTGGACCACGCCCTCCTCCCCATCCCGGAGAAGCTACCGAACGGGACCTGGGTGTGGCCGGACATTGACTGGGAGTCTCAGCTGCAGAACGTCGTGTCACAAAGCATCAGGCATGTCGGTCAGGAGGCCCTGGGCTGGCTGGGACTACCAGCAGTAAGTTCTTGTTGTTTTTTATAGGCTCCTTTAGAAAATACTAATATTACAGATACTACAAATGATATTTACGTTTAATGAGAGATTAGTCTCTAATTCAGTAAGCACCAAAGAATTTCTTGGATTAAGAAATGTGTTTTTCTCACAACTTAAAAGGATGCTAAGAGTATGGAACATCGTGTATTGAATGATTTTTTTAAAAAGTTTATGCTACTCTAATTTACCTTCGCCATGGAGTTTATGTTTTTTGCAACTTTTTGGCGTGTGTGTGCATGTAAGCATGTAAACAAATGATAACTGGAGAATTCTCTGTATCATTGTTTATACCGAAAATAATTCCAGAGTGGTAACTGCCTTAAATTACATACATGTACTTGCGGAAATGTGGTGGTGGGAACATGGTGGACGTACCGAACTACTAAGTCCTTATACGTACAAGCTCAGAAAAGAGCAAGCAAGAAACAGCCATGTCTTCCAGTGCGAGAGTTATCAAGCAAGGGTTGAAGTGTTCATTCTTTCCTATCGCAGACTGGAACTCGCGGTCACCAAGTAGGGGCATTATCATTAGATAACAAGTTTAATGAATTTATATTCAAAGATTATATGTAACAGTTCGTTCAAAGTAATATAGCTAGCTGCCGCCGAGCCGCGTGCCTACAAAGCTGGTGTGTTACGCTAAAGGCGGATTTTTCAGGCTATACGGATACAGATAAATAAGTTAATTCCAAATACCATTAAACTTATTTAAGTCAGGTCCTAACATTTATAATTACTGAAATGCTAAGATGGCCTTTTTAAAGACCGTCATTGGATGTAGAATAAGATTAACCGTTATAGATTAGGCAAATAATTATGATCTTAATTGCATAATAAAAAATAGAATGCTCAGTATTTGTCAGTTGTAAGTGTTAACAACATTCAGTGAAGGTACTTAAATATTCATAGCTAAGTTGCCTGTATTAAAGGAACGGTCCGTTGTTACACAGGATCTTTTGGACAATACGGAACCATGCCCTTTCCCGAAACTACTGACACATGCCCAGCTTGTGGATGGGCTTGCGAAACAAGGACTCAGTACTAGTGGCGACTCTGCAACACTCCTGAGAAGATATGAAGCAGCTGATAGAGGTCAGAGCACAGTCTTTTACAAATTTCCAATGTAATAATCTATGTTATTATATCATATAATATAGGTGGTAATGTTGAACATTTGTTTGTTTGACAGGCTGTCGTTATGGAGCTGAACTCCCGGCGATGCCAGATTCTCTATCAGACCACGTCTACTGCTCTTTAGAAGAAAATTGTCTAGGTGTGTTTACCAAGTTATTAAACTTCCATCAATTAATAGAACTGTTATAAGATCAAGAGATATTTCATTTTAGACTTGTTTGGGCGTTGTTTTTTAACTTATCTTAAAAAATTCAATTAAAATATAAAGCTTGGAATATACCGTGTAAATTCTTTACATATACAGTTTACAACGTCTTTATTGGCTCAGTATCAAGTGACAAAGTCTTATATTGTTACTGTGTTGATGTTACAAAAAAATAATGTATCAGAATATCTAATACTTAAACAATATAAGGGTTCCTTAGACATACACCAAATACAAACATAACCGTCTTTCTTAGGCGGGTTAAACTTAAAACAACTCAGAACTTTAACAGCTACTAGTTCATTTTTGTACATGTGCATAACATCCTTTACACTTTCTTACAACTCATCAAACCATCTGCACCATCGGCCAATCTTTTCGTCCTTATCCAGTAAATTAGTGGGTCTATATCTTTTCTTTTTTTTAGCATGTTCCTGATAATTTACATACTGATTGAATATTACGTCCAAATAGGAATCAATTGCTGTGTGGAAATCAGCATCCCAGCACTGGAGTTCGTCAAAGCCTTCCGGGCCTTTGTGAGACTGGATGTCTGTGAGTTTGAGATTATTGCAGGATTCGAGACCTTAGAGTATCGAAAACTACTCTTCAACTTCCCTTGGGGTGAGTATCTGTGTCTGAGTACATCGTCTGGTGTTTTAAATTGAACCAAACTCAGTTTAGTTAAAATTCCTAACAAGTCGTTGACTACACTAAGAAAAGTTGATCCCACTTACCAATTTCACAATTTACGAGCATTCTATTGTATTTCCAATTAAGAATGAAATTCAATTTATTGATATCATACTTATCTATATTCTATGGTGGGAATGAAATGTGTATTAATATGTTGTTGACGACAACATAATCACGGTGCTTACTCGACTCATAACTAAATCTAAATGCATATTCAATCAATCCTCCGCAGGCGTCATGGTCATGCATATTGTAAAAGCAATTTGTCATAATGCTACAATATTAGTGGAATGTTCTTTAATCGGTGTTTTATTGAACGGTAGAATCACGTACCTCCAAATTATCGACTGTAAATCTTGATCATGGAGTGACCTAGTCTCACGAGAACACGAGACTAGGTCAAGATTTGTGTAGATCTTCTTGCCTCCTCCACCTCTTGCTTTCTCGGAAAGCTAAGTCACCTTGTGGTCAAGTTGTACAGTGAATGTCAAAAATTTAGAGGTACGTGTTTGCCACGTCTAAATAATTCACTGGTTAAAAATTATTCCACTAACTGTTTATAATACGTGACTAATGGACCTATTTGACGCTACAATTTTTTTCTATCCTGTACATCGGTGCTTAGGGTAAAATAACGTTAAATTAGAATCTTGTGGCATTGGAGGTACTGGTTGAATTTAATTTTTTTTTATTTAATTGATATAAAAACAGGGAAAGTATTGGACATCAAGCTATCCGAGGGCATCAACATTCTCCTGACCATTGACCGAGATGCGGACCACCTGAATTTTATCATTGACTTGGGGCTGAAGGCTTGCCATGAGAGTGACTGTTTCCTTGATGTGAACATCTTTGATGACTTGGTCTTGCCAATCCCAATCTGCAATGCCAATGCCAGTTTCACTGTGCCATGTGGGTTCCTTAAAATTTCTTTTTGGCGTAGTTTTTACGATAAAAATTAATTTGATGGTATGTTAATATAACAACCTTGCTTCTTGTATTTATTTAACGATTGAATTGAACAAATCAGCTAGAAGCTAGAAAAATTTTGAAAATATTACAAATTATTATGCCTATTTTCTTTGTGTAATGGTCATGCTTTGTTGTGACGGTGTAACAGGTCATTACTTCAAGGTATGTAATACAATCTTTATAACTGCACACAGGTATTATGATGGATTATTAAAATTGAAGTGATTAATCACTCAATGGCATAATTTGCATGTATAACCCAAACATCATGTAAGTTCTGTATTATAGTCCAATACTATTTTGTGTGCACAGTTCTGCATTTGTATTTTTTTCTTTTTAATAACATTTGTTAAGCCTTGTGTAAGTGCAGATTAACATTATCTTATCTTGTGAAGGCTGACCCACAAAATAATTAAATATGAGTGTAGCTACAGACCCTACAAAAATGGTAAGGAGGTATGTTTTAAGGGAAACTTAAACATTATTTCATTCATTCCAATTTCACTCCAACTGCTTAAAATCAAAGCAACCCACATAAAACCCTACTCACTGACTTACTTCTGTTGTAAGGGTGATTTGATTTTTTTTATTTGATTCCTTTTATTTATTTCTAGATGCAAATTGAATTGTACTACTTTCCTTGTGTTGTCAGCAATCAGTGCATTTGTTGCTGACCTGGCAGGAGATGTCAGCCAGGCTGCAGTTGACGTCATCCTGAAACAGCTCGGCCTGTATGAGGTTTTCTTACCGGTGGGAGAAGTTGCCCAGCTTCCTGTCTTGAGTAAAAGATCTACAGGTATTATAATTGGCGGGCTTTGTGAGTTTGCTACAAACCTGATACTACTATTAGGAATAATAACAACTTTGAGCTCTCTCTAATTTTTTTGAGGTTCAGTACCGAGTCAAAGGGGCGTCTGCTGGCATGACATTTAAAAATTTACAGGTTCATGGGCTTATTTCCATCTCTATTTTGCAAACCTTTTTCGGTACTGATGAAAATATGTTCAGTTTTTTTAAAATCTATAATAGTAAATATGTGGTTTTATTCAATGCAATTAAGTCTTTTATTTGTTATATTTATAATGGATAAATTTTCTGTATATTTTAGGTTTCATAAAGAGACAGACTAACACATGTTAGGGCCCCTGTATTTTTCTACGGCGCATTTTTTTTTTCATTTTTCTCATTAAAAAACATGAGTAATTGTGAGAAAAATATATTTTTTTCATTAAAGAGAAAACTTTTGATGTACAGGTGCTTGCCTTAGTTGTGCGCTCTATAGCTGAACCTTTTAAAGAAAGCGCTATTTTCTTCGCTTCTAACATATTACTTATTGGTATGAAATTGAGTTAAATGTGCATCATATAAGGCCCTTACACATTAATTGACTAATGGAGCAGTATATATCAGTCAATGACAAGACTAGAATATACAAAAAAATGTTCCTGCTGTTTCAACTGTTCTTTAACACAGTTAAATGCATGTTGTTCCATTTTGTATGTTTCTTTCCAAGGATGTCCATTGTTTGAGATTGACTTCTCTGGACTGCCAGATCTCGTGGAGTGTCAGCTGGACAGTAACTGCCTCGGTGTCCACTGTGTATTGAGTGTGACCATACTGGACTATGTCACCTTGTCTACCCTCGCTTATGTCTCCATCGATGCCTGTGACTATGAGTTTGGGATGAGCCTGGGGGAGTGGAACTACGAGGTCTCACTGCTGACATACAACTGGGGAGAGACAAGGGTGAGGTTTTTATACAGAAGAACGCGTTTTATAGCATGTTTCATATAAACGTAACTTTAATAGTTGCATAAATGCAAACTTTCTTTCATTTATGATTGCAACAGTCGGAACTTTCACACTCATCTCATTTGAAAGTTATTTAAAGGTGGACATCATTAAACATAAGTTATTCTGATCAGGACCTTATTAACTAAATTTCTGAGGAAATGTTAACTTAATCTAGCATTCTTTATCAAGATACGACTGACAAATAGTAGATAAATAGAGTATAATCAGTAAAAAGTTCGAAGTAATTACTTAAAATATTATTTGCATAATAATTGAGAGGCATGCATAGTTGACATGTCATAAACATCATAACCAACAACTTTTGTTTGTACATTCAAGTTTCTTATTATAAGAGAGTTAAAATCACTACTGACCACTTTTAATGCCCAACATTTTTGTCTGCTTATTCATTTTATGCACAAATGTAGACCTACGCCTGTGTTTTTTCCTCTTGCAGACAAAGGTGCTTGGAAACAATGCTCTTGACATCACATACTCCATTGGAAAAGACTCAGAAACGAAAGAGTTTGTGTTAGATGTAGCCATCGATCTCTGCATCGAAGACAGCTGTATCCCAACCATCCCTCTACTGGAGAACCTCCGCGTGCCCCAACCCTTCTGTAACCCAGATGGGTTTGCGTTGCCGGGTATGTTCAAATGTACTTGATTTTAACCGACTTTCCCAGTTGCTTAATTGTCTCCAGCATAACCTTGATGAGTTAATGACAAATATAACATTATGTGAAAAGTGGCTGTTTTAATATAGTTTAAAGATTGGATTTAGATAAGGAAACTGTGACATCTTATATGTACATCTTCAGGGTTGGTTAAGTCTGGTGTAGCTTCAGGCATTACCCCCAGCATTAAACCCCTTATCAGAAGGCCTAACCCTCTAGAAAAGAATGGGTTAAACTTGACTATACATTCAAGCCATCGGGCAACCAAAATGCATAGGGCAGCACATGGTTTGATTAAATGTCTCTCTACAGAATGTTCTTAATGTAGTATTTTCTATTCAGATTTTTTAAGTAAGTCAATTTAGTTTTATGGGAAAGATTAAAAGACTAACTTATTGCTAACTGATATACTTGGTGCTTGGAATAAGCATGCAGAACTTTTATATTATCAAATACTCCTAGACCGACGGATGAAATTTCATTTGAATATAAATCAAAGTTTCTTCTGCTGGATCAAAATTGTTACTAACACAAAATATGGCGCTATGCTATTGTATATAATTGTGGCCAACATATATTTTAGGTGGGTCCATAGATGGGTACCTGGACTACCTGGCAGAACAGGGACAATCTGCATTAGCCACAGTGACAGAGGCTGCAGTGGACCTCCTCCTAGAAAAGTTGGGACTGTCAGACTTCTTTGAAGAGGAGCAATGCCATAGACCTACAGTCCTGCAGAATGGGTGGGCAGGAATCAACAGTAAGTGTCAATATTTTGATCACCTGCCGTCCATCATGGCCATTTTAAACCCTTTTTGCCTTATAAGATCAACACAGTTTAGTGTCAAAGTATTGTTCTATTCTATACACAGTATATTTTGTTATTATTAATTGATAGAAATGTAATACAACTGAAAAGGTAAGAGGATTTTTTGGCCAAATCGTTTTTCCTCATTTCTATCCTATCCTATCTTTGTACCATTGTTAACCACAAATGACACGTATTTAAATGTTTTGAAACGGATGAATTTCTAAGTACTTGGAAATTAAGAAAGTAATCTATTTTTAAAGGACTATCGAAAAGAGACAGTCGACAATGCCAGGTTATCCTAATAATATATGCATAAGTGGTCACTATTACAGGTCGGTCTGTATAAGAGACGATAGGCGATATAAACTGCCTGGCACGTTTTGCCAGTTGCTGACGTCACGTATCCGTGAATTCTTGTAAGGATAAGATCACGTGTCTGTAACACTCGCGGATTTACATTTGGAAGTGACTGGTAATTTCTTATCTGAATGAAAACGATAAAAGTCGTCGAGAAGTTAATCACTATGTACGTTTGTGTTCGACTACGGTTTAGCATCGTACTACATGTATATTGGTTTTGTTTGTTATCTCTCAACAGAATGCAACCAGCTTAACCCCCCACAGCTGCCAGACACCATGGCATGTACTGTTGAAGACAACTGCATGGGTGTAAAGTGTTGTCTAGACTTGGACTTCAAGTTGATCAAATTGACTGTCCAATCTTATGTACACCTGGACTTGTGCAACTACAAGTTATTGATGGGTATTGGCAACGTTGACATAGCGCAGACTCTCTTCACCTATGAATGGGGTAAGTGCATTTTGTTTGTTTCACATAAACGGTTTTTGGTACAACACATCAGTATTGTTCATTAGTTTTGATTCACTTGTACCGGATAATTTCCATACACATCAAATATAATCCTATATATTTAACCCTCAACAGAACACCTTCCCGGACTGATTAATCTGTACACCTGGGGTCCGCGCGGACCCCAAGACAGTTTTTTGCTAATTTTTAGAAATTATCAACATGCTACCAGCTCAATTGTTTTACAAACTGATGTGGGAACCTCTGTGTCCACATTACATACAAATATCATACATTTTGAACTTTTTCTATTTTTTGGTGAAGAAAAGAAGACAATAAGAAGAAATACCCGATTTTTAAACCCATTTCAGACTGAAGGGGCTTTTGAGGCCCAACTTTGATCTCAGATAGCGGCTAAACGGCTTGCGCTAGAAGTATCAAATTTGGAGACCTTTCCTAAAATGTCTCTGACAAAAAGTTCATATTAGTTTAATACTGGTAAGTTGATGTTTTTTTGTGTTGCCATGGCAACGGGCAGTTTTTTTAAAAAATAGAAGTAATTTTGGCTTAAACATAAAACTTTTCTGAGTTTTATATTAAATTACACTTCTTTTCCAACATTAATAACATCTTATATAATTAAATATAAGTTAAATCATTTAATATGCATAGAATATGCTAATTTGATGACGTCATTGGTCAAAATCCAATATGGCGGACTATATTATTAGCTCTGACGTCATATGACGTCATAATTACACCAAAGTTATTAAAATTTTATTCTATTAGTACACCATTCTCTGAAAACTTGGTAGACATATGACGAGTGCATAAAACCATATAAAAACGGAAATAAGGTAATGTATAAGAACACCAGTGTATCCATTATGATCGAAAGCCGGCTGGGGTCCGCGCGGACCCCAAAAGAAAATCAGATATAATTTTTTTTATAAATGGTAGAAACGGAGTTTTCTGGACTGTATTGAGAGACAACTTTGTGGGTGACAATTACCTAAAATTTCAGAAAAAAATCTTTAGAAACAAAAAAGATATTACAGAATATATAGTGCTGGGGTCCGCGCTGACCCCAGGTGTACTGTTTAGGGTTAATAAGATATGTACTTTGTTTACAATATAATAAACCTATATAGGTGATAATACATTGGATATATGAAGTAATTTTAGATACCAATGCAACTACCCCTGCTGCCTGGATCATCAAAAATCCCGTACAAAAATTTGAATGAAAAAAAAAAATCTTCAACTACATGTTTTGGGCTTATTTCACAAATTTTTACTCGCACTTTATATTTGTATAAGAAGGTCCTTAATTTAAACTTTGACTTTGTGCTAATCACTGGCCAAATAAAGGAACACTAGCCTAATGACATTTTAACCAAACGAAATTCAATAGAGAAATAAACGAAACAAATGTTGGAGATTTAATTGTAATTTTCTACAAAGCAATTCTTGTCTAACAATAAAGCTCATGGTCTTTGACAGTCAAATTGGTAATAATCTCTGACTAATGTATCCATCATCTTCATTGACTGAACTCAAAGAATCTTTGGGTTATTTATGCAACAGGCAAAATCCAAAAATACCTTGTGTTGGATAGTACTGTGATAACAGATAGGACTTCAAAGAAAGAAGATATGTGCATTACCGTCCTGGTTACATTGAAATAAGTCAGCATAATCTATAAATTTTCTAGGGAGTGAGTAATCATCATTATTTTCTATAGTTTATCTTTCCTAGAAAATCACAGGCTCATTCTTTTTTTAGGAACTCCAAAACTATTTACCATTGGAAATGCCATAAAGATTGACTACAGCATAGACAAAGATGACCTGGAGAAGATGTTTGTGGTGAATGTCGTGGTGTCGCTGTGTCTGGACGGAGACTGTTCTGAAACCCTCCCGCTCCTGAAGCAGAGTAAAATCCCACAGATAGGCTGCATCACCAACTTCACCTTACCAGGTTATATAATGCTTCTTCATATTTCCGATATCCTATTATCTTATACATCCCAGATGTCTACGTTTAAGGTTCAAGGTTATACTGTAAAGCAGTTGTTATCCCCATTGAGGTAAATTTTTTTCTTCAAGTACAAACTAGTACCGATGTATTGCGACTTTGCCGTGGTTCAGATTCTCTAAACAAAGCACTCCAGGTTAAACAACATTTTTTTTATAATGTCAAGGCAGCAGGTGTCAAATAAAATAACAAAAAACACATGTTAATGTACCTACATTACTCAAGACTATTAGGCAGAAATTACCAGTCAACTTGAAGTTATGTTACTAACCATGCACTTTGAAACAACACAAAATGTAGACATTAGTACTTTACAGTTTTCCCGGCCTAGTATAATGTCCTAATAGACAAAGAGATTGTTTTAGACGCCTGAAAAGGACCCATCGTTATTTACCGATTAGAAATACTAGTAGTAAGTGCTACTTGGAACGTCCTCTATCAACCCCGTTGCTTGGGTACCTTTTTCTTCTTAATACCAGGATGTCTAACCTTTGTCGACATATGTCCAAATGTCCTGACTTCAACTCACATAGCAGGAAATAGGATAAACCTCGTTCTACAATATTGCCTAGTATTAATAGGCTCTGAACATGTATGCTTTTTCTTGCAGGTGGCTCCATACACGGCTTCATGGAGTACCTACTAAATAACACCATTGAGAATGCAGGACGGGAGTTGACAGAAGCGGGGATCAGTGCTGTGCTGAAACACTTGGGACTTAATGATGTATTGTCTTTGAAGGATGATCAGTTCAGAGCTCCTGAGAACATAGAGACTGTGAACGGCTGGAGCATCCCAGAGTTCAGTAAGTACTAAAAGGTTCATTTTATGGCATAACTTTAGCGGTATCTTCCAAGACAAGATATCCCATTACAAAATTAAATACACCATTTGATGGTATGTTACAAAGTTGTAAATGATATACTTAAGAAAGAAAGAAAGTCAATTTCTTTTTTTTTCTCCAGACAATTTAACTCCGATGCCCTCTCTTCCTGCTGACTGGGTATGTGTGGTGAATGACAACCTTCTGGGCGTTAGGTGTTATTTCTCTGTTGACCTCGTGGCTGTGACCCTAAGAACAACACTGTGGATGGATCTGGACATGTGCACCTACACCTTCACAGCTGGCATCGGGTTAAAGACCTTCAGTTTCAGATTGTTTGACTACGAATATGGTAAGTATTCAATTTCCTGGCTCCGCATTATTTCCATGCGTATGTGCTTCAGTCTGCCTTTGTGCTTGTCTGTGTTTACACTGTTCAACCTATTAGAATAAAAGCTCATCTGTGCTTGTGGAATCAATTGTTGTAGAGTTTGAGCAACATAACATAGAGAACTCACTATAAATTTTTGGTGGATCTTGCTAACCTTCGGCATATGTGTGATCAATATTCGATGACTGTCGGAGAGGTGAATAAAAATAGCGGTAAGACGGAATACATCACCGTCACGGTTATGACCCTCACGATGGTTGATAAAGTATCGACTGGAATATATGGTGAGTTTCCTTTTATTGTGTTGAAATTGAGCTCAATTTGTTATATATACATATTGTTAAATCTAACTTAAGAAGATCTGGATGTATTGTGATCATGCCATTTGGCACACGGTAGGTCTTGGGACTAGGAAGATCAAGCTCAATTCTATTGGCTTTACTTAATACTACAGCTGAACCCATGACTTTTCTTTTATGTCCCAGGGCATGCCATGGTCTTGGTTTTTAAGTCAGAAAATGACTAGTGTAGGTTTTGTTCTTAACAGCTTGTTCAGAAACTACAGAGGCATTTTCAATGAAATCTTTCCAAGTGATAGGCTAATAAACTTACTATCATTATTGTGGATTTCCTGATTTAATGGGTCTTTCTAGACCACTTTTATTGCATGAAAGACACTGTATTGCGGTTTTACGAATATTTTAAGGGTAAGCAGGGGTCTGAAGAATACATAACGAATACATAACATTGTATTAGTTTCTACCCAATATGGTAGTTTGAGCACCATTTTCAGTACCACAGACACAATGTATAAGCCATAAGTGTAATATTGCACAATCGAAAGGAAACTCATCACATATGACATGTAATCTTTATATTATTTTTTTCAAACAGCTGTACTCGGGTTAACATTAATCAATATACTCTACTAAACTTGATTTCATTCACAGGTGAAGAGAGGACCCTCACTGCAGGTAGCGTCTTCTCTCTAAGATACATCATAGACCAAGATACGGAAACAGATAGTTTTGTCCTGGACCTGGATATGACACTGTGTGTGGACACTGTGTGTGCAGACATCACTCTCTGGTCAGGCTTTAGGGCACCACAGCCTGGATGTGGGCAGAACTTCATTCTTGGAGGTAAGAGTCCGATCACGAGCACAAACTAAAGGCATCCGTAGGGTAGCAAAAACCGGCTGTTTTGCTATAGAAAAGGACGTCTTTAACCCTTGTCGATTGGTTCTGTCACAGCAAAGTTGAACATTTAAAACCATTCAACGGCCTATTGTAAATGCAACTGCTTTCTCTTCACAGAAGGTCCCACTATCCATGATGCGAGTTACTGTTAAAACTCATCAAAGTCTCCTTACACCATGGTTAAATGTCTATGATGTTATCTAAAAATCATTAGATAGCAGTTAATAATGTAGAGTCCATTATAATATAACAATATGTAAGTATATATAGTGTGATGTGTGACAACATACAGAAGCTGTTGATTATTTTGTGTTTTAAAAAAATGACAAATTCCATTATTTTTTAATTTTATCAGTTTTAGGTGTTTAAACTCAGAAATTGAGAACATTGTTTACAAGTCTTTGTTGCTAATATGAATGCGTCATAAAAAAGTGCATTTTTTAAAACTTCCAAACCTGTATCTATGTTGATAAGACCAACTTTGGGTTACACGGACAGTTTTGCCGATCATGATGTAGTATATAACTTCAAATGACTAGATCACGCATGGCTGTATCAACCATGATGAACCATATTGTAGACTACACCCTTGCTCTTACATGATCAACCCTGTTGCAGACTATACCATTGAGGAGTTCCTGGCCATGGCTGCTGAAGCATCGGCTGGAAGTGTAACAAGAACGGCCACGGAAGCAGCCCTGAAGGCATTAGGACTCCATGGAGTGCTGTCTATTGGCGAATCCTGTGACATGCCTGAAGGTCTGGTGAATGGGTGGAAAGGCGCAGAGAGTAAGTCATACATTTTAATAGACAGGTTCATTGGTTTAAAGAACTGTTTGAGTCAGTGATGTTTGGTGGAATTGTGTTCACAATTGTAAAACAAATCACCAAGCAGAAAACCATCAAAGTATACAATTTATGCAAATGAGAACCAAGTTTGCACAATCGATGACAAACTCTTATTACAGTGCAGAGTTGTAAATTTTACCATTGTTAGTTAAATATATAAGTTCGTGGAAGTCTATAGTTATTGTACAGTCAACAGTACTGCTTTCATAAAAGCTTAAATGTAATATAGTTACTGTAACGTTATTAAAGTATTGACGGGGGGAATAATTTGCTAGAAATTTTTTTTTACATGTTTGATTGAATTTTTGAATCGAAATTAAAAACGGACCATACATTACACAATTTTGATCCAATGCGTATAGAGAAATATCTTCTAGTTCATCAGTCGTTGACATTAAAATAATAACATGTGTGACTTTTACCCCATTCTAGACTGTCCAGTCACCCTGCCCACCCTGCCGAACGCAGCAGGATGTACAATACATGAACACTGTCTGGGGATGGACTGTTGTATCACGCTGGACATAAAAGTTGCAACTATCGTATCAGCGGCCTTTGTTGCCTTTGATGCCTGTAACTATACACTTTCGGCTGGGATTGGAAACTGGCAGCATGACTACAGCATATTTACATATAGCTGGGGTAAGTAATACATGTACATACAATCTGCTAGTATAGGAGACTGGCTGTCACTCATGTCAATTCAATAAATTAAGTAGTTGCCTCCTTTCTTGTTTTACTAAAACTGTTCGTTACGTGGTCTTTTTCTGTGCAACGATGATTTAATTGATTATACATTGTATGATGTATATTTCAGGTAAAGAAGAAACACTTGAGGTTGGAGAGATGCTGACATTCACATTTAGTATTGACAACATCCAAAGTGAAGATGTCTTCCAATTGGATTTTGCCTTCAGCCTTTGTTTCAATAAAGAAAAGACAGATTGCTTCGATGTCACACTTCTGCAAGGAAGCAAAGTGCCCAAGATTGGCTGTGAAACTGCCCCGGATATTCCAGGTTATGAAATTTTAGACTTCCGGGTTTTTAGCACGAACGTATTGAAGAAAAGAACACAAATCTAAACATACATTTGTACATACTACATTTAATAAATTATATAATTTACGAAGTACAATTCTTATATTTAAACTTTCAGTTTCAAGACAACAATAAAAAATTTTTGGAGGAGGATATCTGATATTGATATTGACATCATTTCTTACTATTGTATGCTTAAATCTTTTGAAGTAGCTTGAACAAGCCTATGATACTTAACAAGCACTTGTTTTCCGTCAACAAGTATTTTTGCGTCATACATCGGTATTATATTAGGGTTAAGTCCACATACTGCAATAAAAAAAATTCAAACGCCTTTTTACTGCCATAAAATCGCTTTGAATTCCTTTTAACAAAGAAATGTGTTGCTTACATTTTTCCAGGTGGCTCCATCAAAGGTTGGCTGGGTCTGGTGCAGGCAGGACTGGTGGATACTCTGGGAGAGGCAGCAGTTGACTACGTTTTGCACCGTCTTGGGTTGACTGATGTTTTTGCAGGCCAAGCTTGCCAGCATGAGAGTCTGGGATGGCATGGAATAGAGTGTAACTACCTACTAGTCTAATTAATAAATAAGAAAAATCAGTCATCATGATAAAATGATTTACGCATTGTATTAGGATTGCGAATTTTGTTTTAGTTTAAAATTTCATTTAAAGTAAACAAAAAGAAAACAAAACAAGACAGGGCTATGCGCGTATTTGTTTTGAAGTGCAAATATCAAGCAATACAAAGCTATTAGACTGGAACTAAAAGACAGAAATGACAGATTGTTTGATACTTGTAGAAACAGCAAATTGTTTCTCAACTTTGTGTAATTTCTTTATTCTGTTAATAATATGTAATATATCTTCTAGCATGTCCTGATAGTGTGCAGCTGCCAGCTCTTCCATCGTCTGTAAACTGTTGGCCAAATGACTTGTGTACTGGTGTCGCTTGCTGTATGGACATAGACCTTCTGGTAAGTATGGCCTTTCTGTCTGTCTAGCTATTTAGTGTTATTATTGCAAGTTGCCAATTTGGTGTTAAATAGTGATTTAAGTCAATTTCTTTAGCGCTCTGTTCTAAATGTGTGGTAAGCCTTTCTTAGAGTGACAGTTAATGACCTAGAAAATATATTTGACACCTTGATCAGCGCATCTCTCAGTACTTTTACCATCACCATATTATTTTGACTTGCTGAAATGTACATGTACATTGTCATGTTTAGATTAGTTTGTGTTCGATTTTTGTTTCTTGGAGACTTAACATTGCCTTGCAAATATCATTGCATGACATGTTTTGTATTGCTGTCTTAGGTCAAGAGCCTAGCCACTCATGTGTGGCTGATACTAGATCCGTGTGAATACCAAGTGTCTGCAGGCATTGGTGGGAGGACGTTTCAACTGGAACTGTTCCAGTATAACTGGGGTATGTCAATACCCCTCTCTTTAATTGAATACGTAACTAAAATGCAACTACCATTTAGGTAAATTCAGACTTAGATATTAAAAAACAAATACTTACAATGTTACAATAGATTCTAATAGCAATTTTGGATGTTTTTTTAATATAATTATATGTTTTGTGCCTCAAAATGTAATTGCAATTAAAAGTTTAAACTCCTTATTGCACCTTTAATGTTGCATGTGATTTTTTCATGGAATTGTGTTATATATTTTGTCATCTAATTAAAAAAAAGTTGATTTAATTGGTGTCGTCATATAATGCAATACTTTTAATGTTATAGGGGAGGAATCATCTCTGGATGTCGAAGATTCCATGCACATAAGATACACCATTGACAAAGATCCCGTAGAGAAGGTGTTTGTCGTAGACTTCTCTGTGCAGGTGTGCATCGAGTCAGACTGTACCGACCCTGTTCCACTCCTCACTCAAGTCAGACTCCCTCAGCCTCTGTGTAACCGCAATACATCGTATCAGCTTGCATGGCCAGGTAACCCTTATTTTTTCTTAAATGCGGATACTTTTAAGAGTCATTGCACGAGAAAACCAGGCAAAACCAGGCAGAGGTCGGAAGATGGGGGTCGGCCAAATCGGCTCATACTTTGTATGTGAGATAGGTATGAGGAACTATTAACAGCCATATAGTTAAAACCCTCCAGGTATTTTTCGTTATGGTGTTCTGGGACCCCCCTCTGAGACCCTAAAAAATCTAACAATTTATGGCTGAAAATTACTGAAATTACAATGGACACCACGGTAATTCTGATAATGATATGAACATGGGGTTTCTTTTGTCACATAGCATGGGTCTTCTACTTTTACAAAACAAAAATTGAAGATGCAACATTGAAGTTCAAAGGGTATACCAGGGGGTTACCAGAACCAATTAAAACAGAATTTTCATCTTTCTAAATTTTAGTCATTTTTAAGTAGCATTTTCTCCATGACGCGGCAAATTTGATAAACGGTTTTACCGTTGCTGGAAAGAGGAACATCTGCTAATTCAAAAACAAGTGTCGTTTAATTGGGCCACGCATAACGCGGGCTGTGAACGAAGGGTCTTTATGGGGGTTTTCCGGGTTTTGGACCATAATAAATTAGCAAACAACGTCTCTTTACGGGGTAAATCATGGGCATTTTTTGTGCAGCTGCATGGGATCAATGAACAATTGTTGAAAAATGCTAAAAATAATTAGAAATATTCATTGGGGCTCCACATGGGGGATACAAGGATACCTAAAAAGCAAATTTAAACTGATTTTACACAATTTATCACATTTTATTTCTAATTTCCATTAGTAAATATCTTTCAAAATTAATTTTGTGAATTCACTTTGTGCTTAATAATATGGAGGCTATGTATGGGGGTTATCACAACACCATGTGTGAAACTAGCTACCATATACACAAGCCGCATGGGTGCATGCACTTAGATACAAGTACTCTAAATGAACACTATAGCAACAGGACTAAGAATAAAGCTAAACAGAACCGTAAAAACAGGCCAATTCAACTGAAGGCCACTGAAAAAATTACTCAGACCATTTAGGATCGCTGTATATAAGTCAGCAGTAGGTCGGAAGATAGGAAGGTCTTTGAAATCCACTCATACTCAAGAGGGGCGTTCTTCCCACAGTGGCTTTCTGAATAGTGAACAGTTTAGCATTTTCTATTTAGAACGTCTTTTCAGCCTGTACAATTTGCTATTTACGAAATTATCATGAAATGAAAGGCTTTCTAATTGGATTGTTTAGAAAACATCTCAAATCAACTGAGCATACCGTAAATGCCATTAAGACCATATGACACCAAGGTGATTACCAAAGGCTGGAAAATAACAGCACTGAAAGTATTCATTCAATGTAGTCTGGAGGTTGGTTTTAATCATATACTAGTATATTATGATTGAGAATTTTAGTTTGTACGGCGTTCCAAAAGTACATTTGTTGGAGACGCTCCTGCAAGCTTCGCAATCGTGACAATCTTCCGACTCGGGCATCTCTTTTTACAAAACTTATCTTTGCAAAAATAAAACACAAAAATGCAAAAAGTCTGCCAGGGCTGGTTTGTACTGACTTGTCTGGGGTGCGGGAGCATGAAAATTTGGAATGTATCAGGAGAACTGTTCATATTCATTGTAAACGTCATTGGCCAAATCTTGATTTAAATATTCTAACTGCTAATCATCTAAGAGAAACAAAGTCAATCAAATTCATTTCATACTTAATTCTTACGTCTTTAAAACATATCAT